TTTAGGGTTTAGGGTTTAGGGGCCGCCTTGGGAATTTTCTGGCTTTAGCGTTCAGGGTTTGTAGGGATTTAGGGTTTTAGTTTTTAGGGTCTAGAGGGTTTATAGGGGTGTGGGGTTTTGGGTCTATAGGGCTTATAGGGTTCATAGGTGTTCGCTTTAGGCTTTCGGGTTTGGGGTTTGATTTTCATAGGGTATTTCAAGGGCTTTGTAGGGTGTAGGGTTTATAAGGGCGCTATTAGGCTTGGTTGAACTCCCTAAACCTTAACTGGTTCCCTGTTGGGGCTATTGTAAAAATTATCATGTTTCATCCTCATTGGGTTTTATTACAACAAAACTGCAAAATTGTGGCCAACAAGGACCGACCCAGGTAAACCGGTAAACCCAAAGCCCTAAACCCTAACCCGTTTATAGTGGGCTTAGGGAGCAATGGGCATGGGGCATTTGACAACGCGAAACATCGCCAGGGTCTGAGACGTCCAAAGCTTCACGGGGTTTAGGGGTTAAGGGTTTAGGGTTTAGGGGTTTAGGGTTTAGGGTTTAGGGTTTATAGGGGGTATGGCTTGTAGCCTTTAGACTGCACAGACGGGTGCGGAAGGTCACCAACATCTGTCGCTGCGCGCATTGCTTCTTGCTCAATGCCTTGTCGTTATGTTTCTGCTTGTTCCTCTGTGTGTTTGCTTGCAGCCAATAGACACGGATAGGTCCAGACAGATTGGCAGAGGGATTCAGAGGGATGGACAAGTACCAAATACCGGGACATAAACTGTCCATATATATATATATATACATACACATGTATACAGTACCTCGTTGTAACATACATACACATATAAATACATATATGTATATATATATATATATATATGTGTGTGTGTATGTATATATGCACATCTGTATGTACATAGGTAGATATGTACGTATGCATGTATTTACGAATGTATTCCTGTGTATGTATGTGTATATATATATACAATATATATATATGTGTGTGTGTATCTTTATAATTATTTAGTTATATCCACATATAAATACAAAATAATATATATATATATATATGTATACACACATATGCTGTGCATGCACTATTTGTGGGCCATCACTTGACAGTACTACTCTCCAGGCCATGGCTTGCGCTTGAGACTTTTCACCTGCAGAGCGCCACCGGAGGTCTTCGTTGGGAGGCGGAGGTCGGTTCTGGGAAATGCATGGAAATAATGTAGGGGCCTTGAAAAATCAGAGTTTTGGGATTCTGTCTCATAATTGTAAGATGATATACCCCAAGACCCTAGTCTAGTTATTAAGGTCCCTGTATCACGTTGATGCATAGAGATGGGAAGCTTGGCCTCCTCAGCAATGCCAGTCGGCCAATTTGCCGGCAGCCTGACCATCCCCGGCCGATTTTGCCTTGGCCATCCACTGACAAGCCAGCTTATCGGATTTCAGATCGGTCTTGTACAGAAGGGCCAGGTACCGCAAAGCAGAAGTGCTACCTGCCGGCCGAAAAGACCTACCTTTTTGAGGACCTACATGAGGAAATTATAAGGAGCCCCAAAAAGAGAGGTTCTTAAGGGTCCAGGTGCCCCGCGAAATGGCCAACTCGTAGACCTCTTTGGCCTTGCGTAAGGCTATACCTTGATAATCCTCTCGCTCGACGGGGGAATACTTAGCAGACGTCTTAAAGACGTGAGCCATCTGCTGGTAAAGGTACCCAAGGCTTGTCGCAGCTTCAGCGCTGCCCCTCTCGATGCCCATCTCATAGAGTTCCTTGGCCTTGTCCCAATGCTCGTACACCCCGACACCATCGCGGTACATGCGTCCAAGAAGTTCGGGGGCCAGGTTGTCGCCGAGGTTGATGCCCTTCTCATACAGCTCTTTGGCCTTATGAAAATCCTGTGCTACACCGTGCCCATTCTCGTACAGGAGTCCAAGGCCTGTGGCGGCTCCGGGCAATCCCCTTTCCAGGCTCAGCTCAAAAAGCTCCCGCGCCTTCTGAAAGTCAAGGGCCACCCCGAGGCCGTGGTAGTACATGTTCCCGAGGGCAGTGGGTGCCTCAGCATTGTCCTTGTCAATGCCCATCTCATACAGTTCTTTGGCCCTGTGGAAATCTTGTGCGACACCTTGCCCGTACCTGGACCCTAAAGAACCCACCGTTTTAGGGTTCATTATGGTGATTTCTTCATATAAGTCCTTCAAAAGGTAGGTTATTTGGGATTAAGGTACTGGTACATGCTGCCAAGACCAACCAAGGCCGAAGAGTCGCCCCCTTCCATGGCCAGCTCAAAAAGCTCCCGTGCTTTCTGAAAGTCGCGGGCCACCCCCAGACCGTGCTGGTACAAGCGACCAAGGCTATAGCGGGCAGCCTCGTTGCCCTTGTCGATGCCCATTTCATACAATTCTTTGGCCCTGCGGAAGTCTTGGACCACACCTTTTCCAGCCTCGTACAACAATCCAAGCCTATTGAAGGCAAAGCTGTCGCCTCTTTTGATGCCCAGCTCATACAGTTCTACCGCCTTGTGAAAGTCTTGCGTTACGCCTTTCCCGTACTGGTACAGGAGTCCCAGATTGGTGCTGGCTGCGGGGTCGCCCCTGTCTGTGCCGAATTCATAGAGTTCCCGCGCCTTCTTGAAGTCACGAGCCACCCCCAAGCCGTCGTGGTACAAGCTGCCGAGGGCAGCAGGAGCGTAAACGCTGCCCCTTTGGATGCCCGTCACGTACATAGTTTTGGCTGCAAGGAAGTCTTTCGTCACACCTTGCCCCAACTGGTACATGCTTCCAAGGCCAAAGGGTGCCTCAGGGTCGCCAGAAGTATGGGCCAGCTCAAAAAGCTCCCGTGCTTTCTGAAAGTCGCGGGCCACCCCCAGACCGTGCTGGTACAAGCGACCAAGGCTATAGCGGGCAGCCTCGTTGCCCTTGTCGATGCCCATTTCATACAATTCTTTGGCCCTGCGGAAGTCTTGGACGACACCTTTTCCAGCCTCGTACAAGAATCCAAGCCTATTGAAGGCAAAGCTGTCGCCTCTTTTGATGCCCAGCTCATACAGTTCTATCGCCTTGTGAAAGTCTTGCGTTACGCCTTGCCCGTTTTGGTACATGAGTCCCAGATTGGTGCTGGCTATGGCGTCGCCCCTCTCCGTGCCGTGTTCAAAGAGTTCCCGAGCCTTCTTGAAGTCGCGGGCCACGCCCAAGCCGTCGTAGTACATAAGCCCAAGACCGACGAAAAACCGAGCGCCATCGGGGTCGAGGAGATGCTGGAATGCACCGACAGCAAGGTTCGCTTTGGCACAAGCACCCCAGCGCCATGTGGTGGTCTCCTGAAACTTCTCTGACACTGGGGACAGCAACCGTGCCCTTTCGTAGATGACGGAAGTTGCTGCGTGCATGTCCTCAAGTGTCATGGCAGGGTGCGTGAAGGTGATGTTCACCTGCAGCTTGCTGCGGAAGGCTTGAACAGCAGCCTTCAGCTCATTTCTGTAAAAGACTGTATCGAAGAGACTCTTGTAAGAATTCACGACATGCCGTCCTTGCCGCATGTGATAGCCGATCGCGACGGCGACTTGGTGGGACCTCGCCGCCCAGGCGCCCGCGAACTGCCGGGATGCACCAACCCAAAACGCCTTGACCTTTGGGGCTTTAGGGTTTAGGGGTTTCGGGGTTTAGGGTTTTAGGGTTGGGGGGTTTTGGGGCTTAGGGGTTTAGGGTTTAGGGCTGTAGGTTTCACAAGCATGCATTCATGCAGGAGAATGTGCTAAGGCCCGTTCATCTCGGAAAGTTGTTCTGCAGATAACCGGATAAAACTCAAAACCCAACTAGCCATGTACTACCTCAGGGACCAAAAAGCCCTTCAAAGCACGGCAACTTGCACCGAATCCCTTAATAAAGTATACGAACCACAAAAACCCTTTCAGGGCTCATTTCGTGTTCAAGGTAAGCTTCGTTCTCCAACTAGACATAAACCCTAAACCCTAAACCCTAAACCCCTAAACCCCAAACCCCTAAACCCTAAACCCCCAAACCCCTAAACCCTAAACCCTGAACCCCCTCCCCGCCTTCGGAAAGCTGCAGGACCTCAGGGTATTCACCCCAGGAGCCTCAAGGAGTTGGCCGAGCCGAGTATCTGGATCCTCGGGTTTAGGGTTTAGGGCTTAGGATATAGGGTTTAGGGTTTAGGGTTTAGGATTTATAGGGTTTAGGACTTATGGTTTTAGGGTTTAGGGTGTAGGGCTAGCGTTTAGGGTGTAGGTCCTAGGGTTTAGGGTTTAGGGCTTTGGGTTT